GATTTTTCGTAGTGGATTCCATGTGATATTTTTTCTGTACTTATGAATCTATAAGTATGAAGAGCCTCTGTTTGGACTTTTCTTTAGATGCATCCTCTTTGGTCAGGTGATCGTTATATCCAGAATTAACTGAATATTTAGGTTTTTTATAGAGTCATGTTTAGTTGTTTGTAAATTTCTATTTGTGCCAATTTCTTACTTCGGGTGTTATTTTTAATGTTGAAATTTTCTTTTGAGGGAAGTTAGGGTTCGATGGACATTTAGAAATTAGATGCTTTCTGACACTTTATTTCCACCCCCTTTAGGGGGTGGCAGTGATCAGTCGACTCAAACGAGTTTGAAATAGAACCACAGGGGGTAAGTTGCATATTTTAGTATTTTTTTTAGGTTTTTCCTTCAATTTACAATACATAATAAAGTACTGCAGCTAGACTGCATCATTAACAATTAAAAAAAAAATATTTTGACTAGTATTCAAGCTATTCAAAATAATCATTAGTATTTAAAATTGGAGATTTTTATGCTATTATTTAATATTATTTAGTATATAATTTTGAAGGGCTTAAAATAATATTAGCATACATTCAATAGACAGAATCTGTTAATAAAGATAATGTAGATAATATTAGTGTAAAGACATTTAGATAAATAGATACATATAAATTTATAGATATATTGACTATTGATCATTATATTGGCTTTATTGAAATTAATAAATTATTTTATATTGTAGATAAAGAAGTTGATAGTGATGAATAACAAATCAAATAAATCTAATTTAATGTAATTATTATTTGTATATTATGTTATTAAATAATTAATCAAAATCAAAGTAATTATTTATCAAAAATTGAAAAAATATTGTTAAATTATAATATTGTATAATTTTTATATAATTAAAGACTATTATTGCATATTATTCATTATAAAATTTTTAGTTTTATATTTTGTTTAAAATTTGTATATTAATGAGTTTATTTTGGATATAAGATATATAAAAATTTATAAAAATAAGATAAATTCTAAACAATTTTCATAGGATGGATTTATGTTTATGTTAAGGTTGAAGCAGAAGAATATGCAATGACTTTATGTCAAAAATTTTGTGTTTAAAAATAAGTGTATATGAAAATATGCATTAAAGATCTTAATATTTAGAAAGGTATTTAGAATAATACATATATGGATTTTTTATCTATCTGCTTAATACTATAGTTATAAATGTATTTTAATCAGAATAGGTGAATTTTATATAGTAAAAATAACTTATTTTTTTAAAGCAAATATACATATCAATTAATGATATTTTTCTAGAATATTGCAAAAGAAAAATTAAAATAATTTTGAAGAATTGATTTCTTATATATGAATTTATTTTGTCATATAAGCAGTTATACTAATTTATAGTATATCATAAAGATGGGAACTGTAATTAATATGTTGCAACATTTTGCAAATTTGAAATCAATTGCTGTACCATCTTCAGTGTATCAATTATTACATCATATGCATTTTAATAAGGATCAGAAATATATTTTACATGTTTACTGCATTAGTTTTAAAGCATTAAGTATATATATTTTATTAAAATAATATTTGGAATCTTGATCTCGAACTAATTTAGAAAATTTAGCACACAAACTCATAATTATTATCCAAATCTGAGAAATTTATGATAAGAATTTTTCCATATATAAATATTTTTTGTAATAGTAATGAATCACATATATATTGTATTTTTATCTAATTATTCTTATATTTCCTACAATCTGAAATTCTGATGAAGTATTCAAAGTTATATTTTCAGTGAACACGATAATATTCAGAATTTCATACATATCAATCTAATATATACTTCTAATAATTATAATATTTTATTAATAAATATATATAATATATTATCTAATCACATTTATAATTATAATTTCTTTTTGATTATCTACTTATTTTTGTTAAATAATGATAATTCTTTATCAAATTTTTTCTAAAAGATGAGTTTTTGAGTTTTTTATATATAAAAACTTTTTTTTATCAGAAATACTAATTAATATTTCTTACTACTTCTCAAACTTATTTTATCAAAGATTCAGATTTCTTTTTGTAATTCCTGTAAGCTTGCTAGATAACTATTAAATAGAAATTTTTAAAGCTATAATTATAGTATTTAGGAATTAAGAATTCTTATAATTACTTCATTAAACTTCTTAAATTTTTCAATAATATAATATAAAATGATTTTACAGATATAAGAAAATCTTTTATATTTTAAGAACTTGTTTGTTAATAGATCAGAAAAAGTTTATAAGAGTTTATAAGTATTAATATTTATGAAAAGAAAAGATATTTTTCTACTAAATAATATTCTATATCTAAAAAATTTTTAAAAAAATAAAAAAAAAAGATACTGATATAAGCAACATTTAGAGTAAATATCTAAGAAAAAAATTTACTAAAAATAAAAAAAATCATCAAAAATATATTCATATTCTAATAATTCTAAAAAAAAAAACTTACTACTTTTTATTTTAATTTTAATTTATAAAGAATACATAACAATAAGTAAAAATAAATAAATTAAAAATTTTTATAATTTTCAATATTACTAATAAGCCTTTAGCAAATATTTTAGAAACTCAAAAGGTTAATATAAACTTTTACAATTCAAAATACTTTCATTAAATTATTTAAGAAATTAAAAAATTATAATCCTAATTATTAAATTTTCACATATCAAGATATGATACTTTAATATAAAATAAAAAAATATATTATTTTATATTAAAATATATTCTAAAAATATGCAAGTTAAATTTAATAGTTTATTAAGTATTTAATAATTTTCTTAAGTTATAAAGTTTATTTAATGAAATATAGTGTTCTCTTTAAAATTTTTAATATATCAAGCTATTATTTTAAATAATATCAATATATTATTAAATAAATATTTAAGTTAATATCTTATTCTTCTTACTTTTAAATGTGATTTACATTTAATAGCTAATATAAATAATAAGTAATTTATTAATTTTAGCAGCTATAGTACTTTATTTTTTATAAGTCTTATGAAAAATTAGCCAAAACAATTTCTGTATTAGTTAATAATATGTAATTTTTGAAATAATCATAATAAATTGTTGAATTACTAACTTATATTAATGATCTTTGTTCATCTAAAACAAACATAAAGAAATGTTTCTAATTAAGAAATAACTAAATATAATAATATAATTCAGATTCATTTAAAATAATATATATATGATAGTTGTAATACTTATAATTATTATGTAATATTAACTACTAGTAGATTTGAAAGATTTATAATCTTAATTATTAATATTTAAAAAGCATTTGCTGTATTTTAAACATTAGGTTATTATATTATTGTATAAATGATTTAATAAAGGTAAGTTTTATTTAATTAATTAAAATGTATCATACATGTCATGAATATTATTATGATTATCAAAAGAGTTTTTAGTAACAAAGTTAGTTAGTTGATAATATTTATCTTGATCTATAGCATATTATCAAAATATTAAATATTAAAATATAGAATACTAATATAAAGTGGTTTTAATAGTTACCATTATAAGTAGCAGATAAATTATACACAAAGAATTTTTCTAAATTGAAAACTTTTTTATTTATTTTAGGTTGCATATAAACAAATAATTAATTATTAAATTTGATGATCCTTAAATAATAAATATATATCAAAATTTTTATGTCAATATTAAAGTTAACTGTATTTTTTTTTTTATATTAATACAAATAATTTTTCACATTTTAACTTTCTGATTTAAAGAAATATTTAATTAGAAATAAGATGACAAATTTTTTATAATACAAATGGTCCTCCCTTATGTTTCATACACCCCGTGTACAAATAGAAATCCTTTTTTATATAATTTTTCAGATTTATTCGTAGTTATATTTATGAAAATGAAAATCTTTTTCTTAAATAGTCACCCTCCATATAGTCACATCATCCTTCCCTCTATGCATTCGAGAACCTCAACTGATTGTTACACGGTTGCTTCGCCTAGATGGAAAATTAAAATAAAAGTAGTTGATCCATATTATTTATATTTTGCGCATTGTTGTCCTTTAATATGAAACGATAGACTCATGTTCATGTGGTTCATGTGGTGAGATCAAAATTCTTAGGGGTTACACTTCGCTTTTTATGCTTCATCACAAAATCACACTGTTACCTCTACATTTTTGTGGTCCTTTTCGTTCAAAAAGCACAGATTTCAAAAAAGAACTTTATTGTCGGTTTTTTTCCTTCTTTCCTCTTATTATTATTTTATAATTATTTATTTATCTTGTAAATTTTTTTTTCTTCCTTTAATTTGTCAGTCATTTTGTTCCTGACAAAAAGTTATTTCCTTTCTATAAAATTAGATTTGTTAGTAAACATTTTGACTATAGGATATAATATTTCTCGCTGTACAATATTTTAGGTAGTGTATTTTATTCATACAAACCAACCTGCCTTCGCTTGCAAATAAAATCAGGCAAGCATTACTATTCAATTAATCCCTTATCCTCGCCATGTTGATTACCTGTTAGAAGGATTTTGAATTTTATTATCCCCTAGCTCTAATCAGCATAGGCATACTTCTTCTTAAACCAGAGACTGGTCTACACATTCTTTTTTCTTATTTTATTATTTTTCCATAACTATATTTATAAATTCTTTCTGTAGCTACAGAAAAATTTTTTTGTTTCGTTAAACTCTACCTATAAAAATTCTTATAAAAGAACAACAAAAAATGTCAGAGAATAGTTCAATTTCATCTACTCCACTTAGAATGTCAACTCATGAAGGGCAGGGACCTGATATAGTGGTATCTTCTCCATCAACACGAAGGTCCGTATACTTAAATATTGCACAACCACCAGAGGCAATAAAAAAACAATTACAAGACCGATTAAATGAAAAATCTCAGAAAATCCAAATGACTGCCGAATTAGGTCAGGCACTATTAAAACAAAAATCCGAACTAGAACAACGAATACAAGAGCTTGATCAGACTCAAGGCGATGAAGTTCCTCAAGAAATTAAAGATAAATTAACCGAGTTGGAAAAACAAGCTAAACTTCTTGAAACGACAACAGCAAAGGTTTTTCTTGGTTCCAAAGGTCTTTCTTCGGTAAGGAATAATTTAATAATCCATAGATAAAGAAAAATCAGTCATGGTGTATTTATAAGTGACATACTTTAGTTGAAAATTTTGTTAACTAAAGTTTAAACTTGGATTAAAATTAATTAGTTCGAATGAGTATCATCCAAGTGTGCATACTATAAATGTTTAATCACGTCAGGTAAATTTGCGGACATTGGGATGATTAAACTTGGGATTCTTGGATCTTACCTTAGTTTACGATATTACTTATAATAAGAATTCCGACATGAAAGAACCATGACTATTAAATGAAAATCAATGGAAAAGTTGTCTCCCGTTTTCAAATTATACTTACCTTATCCGCTTGTTTTACGCTATAGGATGGAGATATAGCTGGATCACCTGGTTCTTCTACTACATCGATGGTGGATCCAATACCCACAACAGCAACTGCTTCATCACGTCCTAGTAGACGTGAAATAAATAAATCAAAAAATCGTAAAAATGATATTGAATTTGCTGCAGAAATAGGACAGGGTCTATTGGTGGAAGTTAGGCGTTTACAAGCTTTACTCCAAGAAAAGGAAGAAAGAATAAAAGAACTTGAAGTGGATAAAGCAGAATTAGAGCGTGTAATTGAAATGCTTAACAAGCAACTTCGAGGAAAAGAAGAATCAGAAGGTATTTATCATAATTAATTTAATTTGGTTAATTTGAAATAGAATTTAACCATCGTTATGCATATTGAAACTGATTAGAACGGTACAAGGAAGAAAATTGGAACCTTGAAGTAGCAAAACAAGAATTGAGTGCACAATTAGATGATCTTCAACAACAATTAGCTAAAGCTCGTAATGATTATTCAAAAATTGAAAAAGCTCTTGCAGCTGCAACTGATGTTATTGAACAACTTAAAGATAAAGAAGAAAGATTGACAGCAGAATATGTTAACTTAAAAACTCGCCATGATAAAGATATGGCTAATAATAGAAGACATGTTGCTGCACTTAATCGAGAAAAAAATGATCTCATGAAAAGTTTGGATGATCTGAAGAATCAATTTGATTCATTACAAGCTTCCAGCCGCATAAGAAAACGAACACCGGAACCAGGTGCAGTTTCAAGTGAAGTATACACTGACGAATTTGGTCAACCTTTACCATCTAACGATAATGATACTAGTAACGGGATCATACCAGCAGCTTTACAAGGCAAAAACTTGAATATCGAAGTTGAAACTTTAAAAGCTCTAGGGGTTTCAAATCGTATGATTGGTAATCTTCGTGCAAATCTCCAAAAAGAAAAAAGCGAAAAATATGAACTTAAGAAACTTTTAGCAGATAGTCAAGAACAAATTGAAGCGATGAGATATGAAACAGAATTTGCAGATCCCACAGCTTTCGGCAAGAAACCTAAAAGTAAACGACCAAAGAGATTGTCTGAATCAAGTAATGGATTACCAAACATTGACGAAAATGAGCCATTTAACGATGATGATGATTCACAAGATGATAATGAATATTTTGAAGAACAACATTTAGAAGATGGTGATGATGATGTGGAAATCAATAAAAATAATCGCCCTTCTTCAGATATGTTTAAACCTCGTAAACCTGAACTTTCAAGGAAGAGCAAGAATTCATTTGTAAGTTCTATAATGTCAAGTAAGATCGATGAGGATATTATTCCTGGTGTCGAAGAAGAAGAATTTGATGAAAATGATGAAATAGTCGCTGCTCAAAGAGCTGAAGCTCTTAATAACTTAACTAAACTCAATAGAAATGCATCTATATCATCGAAAACATCTCGATTGTCAACGGATCCTAAAGATCCTGCATCTCTTGAAGTTTCTAGCGATCCTAAATCTATACGAAATTCGACGAGTAGAGAATCAGTTGTTCGTATGCGTATCAGTGAATTTGAAGATATTTTAAAACATAAAGTGAATGAAGGTAGCTTTTTCCGTGAACGTAAATCTGGTAGATATAAGATCATCAATCTTGATACTGGCGAGGAATATGAAGAAGAAATTAAAGATGATGCTTCTTCAGTGGATTCATTTACATCTGCAAATGAGGTTAATTCAGATTCGAAAAGGGAATCGGCGGCATCCAAGAGGGAATCAACTTCAAAATTGACATCAAACCGAAGATCTTCGATACCAACAACGTCAGGTGCATTCATTGAGACAGAAATTGTTATTCCAAAAGAATTCAAGGAAGTTTCGGTTCAAACTGATAAAGTTCCTGAAATGGTTAGAAGTGTCTCCCTTTCTATTAAGGAAGTGTCAGTTCAAACCGATAATATTCCTGAAGTGATTAGAAGTGGCTCCCTTTCTATTAAGGATGCGTCTGTTCAAACTGATAATATTCCTGAAGTGGTAAGAAGTGACTCCCTTTCTACAATTCATACTGGCAAGTTTACGTTCGGTCAACGAGATACTGTTTATGGTAATGATTCAAAGGATGACTCCAACGCTCGACAATCAGTTCTTTCGGTTCCTGAAGATAACAAAATCGATAAACGATTTACGCTTGAATTAAGTCCAGTAGCATCGGGACATCAGAAAAATCAACGTTATCAACAACGAGACATTGTTGAAGAAAGCAATTCTCGTGGTATTTTACAACCTCATAATAAACTTCATGACCAAGTTCTTGGATTATTCCCCCCACCACGACCTTCGGTTAGTCCACCATCAACCCTCATAGCTCAGGCTCATACTCATCGACCTATAACTGTTAACTTCGGACAACAAGCGGGATCATCTAAAGTTTCTCATAATCCATTAAATCTTGATAGAAAATCTTCCACAGATTCACAGGAAAATTTACAGATAAATAATACTCCAGGTTCTCGTTCTATCGGAAATGGTGTCTTTCCGAGTCATAAGCATACACTTAGTTCGGGTTCAGTGTCAAGTGTTAGTAGTGCTTCAACCTCAGCTGAAAATATAGGACGTTCTGACTCATCTCATGTTGAAGCTGGTAGCAGTACTGGACCCATGACCGGACCTTCGGGAACAGATCCAAATATCATTCATGCAATTACTCAAACAATGATTGGTGAATATCTATATAAATATCACAGAAGTAATTTTGGCGCTGGAAAGCGTCATAAACGATTCTTCTGGGTCCATCCTTATACCAAAACCTTATACTGGAGTATTAAAGATCCCGGACATTATGAACCAGTTAGCACCAAATCAAAGAATGGCACTTCATATTTCGGTACGTTAATATTAAATGACTTAATCAGCATTAATTTTATATATATAAATATCTTTCTATATATTCATAATCATAATAATATAAATTTTTTTTAATTCTTTAAATTTTTATAGCATACATTGAATCAGTAAAACAAGTTCCTGACCATAACCCTTCACCTCCTGGTCTCCATTATGAAAGTTTGGTCATTAAAACTCCTGAAAGAGAGTTGAAATTCACGGCATCTTCAAAAGAACGACATGATTATTGGTTCCAGGTTCGTTGTAATTAATTTATTATTTTTTTCAACCATTTATACACTTGTGACATAATAACTATATTATTATTATTTACCAAATTTTTATTATAAAAGGCCTTAAGTTATTTATTACAACGACCTGATGAGGCAGGACAAATGGGGCCAGGTCAAACCCCAGGAAAACCTGCGAGAAATGGAACGGATCCATGGGAAAATCAAGCGAATATGCAAAGTCTTCACAGTAGCACATCGCCAAACGGATCGATAAAGGGATCAAATACCAGAGAGATTAAGAAAAAATCTAGTTTTAATAAAATTCAAGCAATGTTCCGTCGAGATGGATCATCGTCTTCACAGACATCACCACTTTCATCGGAACTTACCGATGGTCAATACCAACATTTTGGACCTTTAAGTAGTAGTAACGTCGATGATGATGAACTTGAAGATTTGGAAAATGTACGGCAATGTTGTGATGGTCGTCATGACGTGAGCAAGTTAGAACGTGGACCGAATAAACATCATCATAATCATTCCCATCATTATTAATATATACTGAAAAATACAAGATTATTTAAAGGAATTAAAAAGAGAGGGATAAGGAGTCTATATAATCTTCTAAAAATATTATTATTTTTTTTTTTAATTAAATTATTAAATATATATATTGGTTTACAAAATTGAATTTTATTTTTTTTTTATTAGTATTCCGTTTGTACACTAAACACTATTAATAATATTATTTATATTAAAGCAAAATTGAATTATTACAAAACATTTAATAAGAATTATATAATAAATATTAACCATTTATACAATTTAGTTAGATTTAAAGATCGATATGAAAAAATTTCGGAGGAACCATCATGTATTATAAATTGAAATTAATAATAAAATATTGAAGAAATCTTCACCATCAAAAAAAGTACTCGTTAAGAAGAAATTTAATACATCATATATTTTATTTAGTGATAAAATAATCGTAGAGAAATGTAATTCAAAAAAAATAATTTTTTAAAATACAACTATTTTTTTTTTTTACCAAACTTTCAATTTGTTTGATTTAATTCTGCCAACAGTTCCGACAAACACCATTCCGGTAGCTAACAACCAAACCCAAAGATGATCAAATTGAGCTTTGACCCAAGCATTTTGGGTTCCTCCAAGGGCTGTCAACCAAATAAATGCCAAAAGTAAATAACCGGAAAATCTATGATATTTATACATAGCTTTGGCCTTTACAACACCACCAACTACGCCAGGGAAATTCACCAAAGTCGATCCGGCAATTGTTTGGATGAGAATCAATGAAAATGTGATCAACCCGAATTTTCCATGAGGAGACTCAACTAAATAATAGTTAAAATCAAATATTAAAAGATTAAAGAAATTACTTATCAAAACAAAATTTTTTGAACTTTGAATAAATGAATGATAATAATAATAAATAATATTTAAAAACTTACAGTGCTCTTTATTTCCCATATTCTTAAATGTAATTATAACATAAAAACCTCCAATTACGCTCAAAAAACCGATAGATTGCAATGCCTTATGAAAATTTAAGCTAGATACTTTTTCTTGTCTGGATTCCGCCTTTTGAAGAACCAGAATACCTATATTATTTTATTTATGACGCGTTTACATGTTATAAAATCTTTAAATTTATACTTTTAAAATGAAAAAAATTTTACCATTTGTTGTCATTAATAACATCAAACTCATTAAAGTTGGGTGCCAGATAAAAAAGAGATAGTCTGCTGTACTTGTTATATACCAAACAGTACTAGCGAAAAGCAAAGCTCCAACGCTTACGAGAAGAGAAAATACAAAACTCATGTTGAAAGCTGTTGAGCCTATAGGTGTCGGAATAGACCTTGAAGGAGAAGAACTGGTTTCTGAATATTGAGGTAAAGAGTTATCTGGGTCAATCAATGGTTCTGTAATATTATCCTCTTGTGGATTTTCTTGTGATACCATTATTAATTACAATAAAAGGATAAAAAAATAAAACGATAGAACATCAGAGGATTAATGTAAATGATTTCACATGGCAAAAATCGCACCTTTCAATTTCAGGATTTTATAATATTTTTTGCTCCCTGTGAAACATCAATGTGGGAATATTTGAAAAATCCAATCTCAAATTATAATTAGGAGTTATTATAATCAATCAAATTGAGACGATATAATAAGTCAATTGCGTAATAAATATAAGGTAACCTATTTTGGTTATTCTTAACCTAAATTGGTTTTTGACGACTTAAGCAGTAAATATAAGTCAATCGCGTAATAAATATAAATCCCAATCGATTGTTAATTTCTAACCTATTCTGGTTTTTTTTTTTGCTTCGACTTTAATCTTAAATCTGCAATTGAGATATTGAATTTATAGAACGTACTAGTTTCCCCAAAAAACTTCGATTCATTTAAGAAGTTCTCGTCCAAATTCTTCAAAATCTATAATGTGGATCCCATGAAGTTCGAACTTAAAGATGATGATTTTAAATTAAAGGTTTTGAGGAATTTTGAAAAAGCAAGAATGCATGAGGTTTTCTTCGTAAGCATTATGTTAACGATGAAAATATTAAGTATTATGATGAAAAGTCTCCAATTTCTTAATCACTTAATACCTTTGATATCGCCCGATATAAAACTAAATGGCTCGAATTTGCTTTTCTAATTATGAAAATATTTCACATTTATAATAAAATTTTTTTTTTGGAGGTTCTTTCGCAATTTTTATTTTATCATTTTTTTTTTTCAATTCTTCAAAATTTTCATATAGAAAATGATATCACTCATTTACTACAATGACAAAAAAACAGAAAAGTTTGCTTATATAAAAATAAAAAAAAATGAAGAAGAGAACGATGTCTTTGCAAGTTGAAGTTTAAAAACTTGAAAATTTTATTTAAAAACCGAAAATTAAGTCAAAGACCAAAACCCCAAAGAAATGAAAATCAATTAGTTGCAGTAATTTAATTTTAATATAAGCTATTACCATAAGCCTCAAGTAAAAGTCTGTCAATTCCAAATCGAATCTCTTTAAGAAAATGAAATTAGAATCTTTACATGGGCCCAAATCAAATATATAAGAAAAAGTGAGTGAGATAATTATTATTATGCAAGGATAATAAAAGCCACTTCATATACTTTATTATTATGAATTTTAAAAAGTCGCTACTTAAAATAGATAATTAGGATAAAATGATTTGATTTTGATTCCCGATTTAATTAAGTAAGCAATAAAAAGTTATAAGAGTTAATTGAGTGAATTTATAATATTATCTATTGTATGATAAATTTATTTTTTTATCACAAAAACATATTACATAAAATTACAAATTCAAAATTTACATACATGTGTAATTTTTTTTAACATCAGGTAAACAATCTTCACAATCTCATAAAATTTTGTTATATTTACCAAATTTAAACAATCGCACGTTTTTGCCCCTTGACGTTAAAAAAAATGGTCACCTGAAATACCAAAACTCTTGTAAATTCGTTATAATTTTTTTTTTTTTTACCTATAAAGCTAATGTGTCACTAAATCATAGATGAAAAAAAAATATTGGTTGTTTTTTTTAAAATAATAAAAAAAAAATGCTATTTTATTAAATAAAAGGTTTTAAATAACTGAATAATTAATTATAAAATTTAATTTTTAATTTTTAAAATGTTATAAATTATAAGTGCCAGGCAAATATCATAACAAATTGATATCAAAAAGTATTGATTCACTTTCACAATTCAATTCATGATGTTAATCACCAGTGATATAAATCATCTTAAAGGAATAATACATTCATTTACAAAGGAATGATATAATCATCTTCAAAGGAACAATACAATTATTTCCAAAGGAACAATACAATTATCTTAAAAGGAACAATACAATTATCTTATAAGGAATAAACAATTATTCCCAAAAAGACGATAGAAATTGTTTCTAAAGAAATAATACATCATCATTCTGAAGAATGATTTTTGACATCATTCTTTTAGAACATTTCTAAAAGAACAATTTTTATATCATTCTATTAGAATGATATATTATTGTTCTGTAAGAATGATATTTTTCATCATTCTTTTGAAATGATGTCATTATCATTCTGAAAAATCAATTATTTTTTTATCATTCTTTTAGAATGATATATTATTGTTACTTAGAATCATCATTCTTTTAGAACAATGTTATTATCATCTTAATGGAATAATATTTTTTCATTCTTTTAAAATAATGTTATTATTGTTCTGAAAGAAGATTTTTTAATTGTTTTTAGAATAATATATCATCATTTCTTAGAATAATTTTTTACATTATTCTTTGAAATAATGTTATTATTATTCTAAAAGAACAATTATTTTTTATTATTCTTAAGGAATAATTCATCATTATTCTGAAAGAATGATGTTTTTTTATCATTCTAAAGGAATAATACATCATCATTCCAAAAGAATGATATTTTACATTATTCTATTAAAATGATACTTTATTATTTTGAAAGAACAATAATTTTTTTATCATTCATTCAGAATGATACATTATTATCTGAAAGAATTATATTTTATTTTGTTCTATTGGAATGATATATAATTGTTCTTTTTAAACAATTTTATTATCATTTTTAAGAAATTATCAACTTATTATTTTTTTTGAATAATTTTTTATATTATTCTTAAGGAATAATCAATTATTATTACTTTTAAATGATTTTTGTTATTGTTCTTAAGAAATAATTAAATTATTATTTCTTTTGAAAGGTTTTGTAATTGTCCTAATCAGATAATGCAAAATTATCTATTTAAAACATTTATAATAAATCATTCTTAAGTAATAAATAAAATTTAAATTTCAGATTAATCAAAATTTTAGTTCAGTTTACAATATAAAACTAATAAACTTTTAGAATAATTTGAATAAATTTTTTATTTTTTTTCTAATAAAGTGATTTTAGATAGAAATTTAACTTTTTTTTTTTCTTATTTTTTTAAAAAATTCTTATTTTAGAATTAAAATAAACAAATCAGACAAATCAGAGTGACTTTTGAAATATATTTCTTTTTTTTTCTTGTTTTTTTTAAGCAATTCTTATTTTAAAATTAAGGTAAGCAAATCAGAAGTGACTTTTAAATGATTTTTAACTTTTTTTTCTTTTTATTTTTTTAGGAATATTTTTTTTCAAAACTAAGGTAAGCCTTTTAGAAGTAACTTTTGAATGATTTTTAATCATTTTTTTCTTTGTTTTTCTTTTTTTTAGAATTTTTTTTTTTCAAAACTAAGATCCTTTAAAATGGTTTTTTAACTATTTTCTTTATTTTTTTCTTTACTTTCTTTAGGAATACACAAAGATAAGTAAATTAAAAGCGATTATTTAATAATTTTCTAATTGTTTTCTTTATTTTTTCTTTATTTTCTTTAGAAATACATTAAGATAAACCTTTTAGATGTGATTTATTGATAATTTTTTAATTTTTTTTATTATTTTTATTTACTTTCTTTAAGAATACATTAAAGGTAAGCCTTTTAGATATGTTATTTTAGTTTTCTAATTATTTTCTTTATTTTTTTTTACTTTATTTAGAAATACACAAAGGTAAGCTTTTTAAAGGTAATAGTTTTTTAACAGTTTTCTTATTTTTTCTTATCTTTAAACAATCAAATATATTTTTTTTGAATAAAATATAATACAATATAATTGTATATTTTTTTGAGTAATTTATTATATAATAATAAATAAAATTATAAATAATAAATAAACAAAAATGAGTTTTATTAGTTTCAATTTTATAAATAGTTGCTTAATTGATTTTTAGCAGTTTTTAAACTGATTGTTAATTGATTTTAAGCTGATTTATACAAAATTTTGACCAATTTTTAACATTAATGCTAATTAATAGCTGATTTCTATTTATTTAAAATGCTAATTTTTTGGTAATAATTAGCAGAATTAGACTATATTTTAGCTAACTTTGGCACTTTAAAATAGACAAATTGTATTATTTTACCTAGTAATATATCAAACAACTACCAATCATTAAATGATGATTTTTTATTGATTAGCAGTTATATTAGACAACTTTGGTTATAACTAAAATACTATTTTGGAAATTATCAGCAGAAATTAAACTGTATTTTAGCTAATATTCAACATTATAATATGAAATCGAAATGAAACCTAAAAATCAAAAAATTTTGACTTTAAAGATCAAAGTTGAAATTAAAATGCAATAGTCAAAATGATAACATATTACATGATTTTTCATATATAAAAAATCTAAAAAATAATAAAAAATGTACAATCTTGAACAGTATTACTCTGTTTCTCATGAAAAAACTACTATTCGATTTCTTGTGACTAGACAGATCTAATGATCTAAATATCATTGATTTTTGTGATCAGCTGATCTTAAGATAATTATTATTGTATTTTCAAAATCTGAATCCCTTTATTTAAAGTGGAATTTATTGAATTATAATTTTAGCTGATAATTTAATCATGATTATCTTATATTGGCTGATTCAAAATCAATAATATTTAGCTCATTAGATCCATCTTGTCATAGGAATCGAATAGTAGTTATTTTATGAGAAATAAAGTAATATTTACTAATATTATATATTTTTTGTTTTTAAATTTTTTATATATATATGAAAATTATGTGATATGACATTATTTTGATCATTTTGACTATTTCAGATAATCAAAATGATTCATTTCAACTTTATGTATAGTTGACACTTTTAAAAAAAGTGACAAAATGGATTATTTTAACTAATTAATTTGTTCTAAAGATGGTATTTGTTTCCCTTTCTATGATCTGTTGGTTAGTAAATATGAATGAAGTACGCATCTATTTAGTATCTTTCAGGATATTGAAATAGTGTAAAAAATATTGTGTTAGATGGTACAGTAGATCTGCAATTAATTTCAGCCACTATTATATGATAATTTTGATTGATCTTTTGGACA